GCAATGGCTCAAACAAAAGTATCATGGCTGTTTCATTTCCTTTGTGTTATTTCAAAAGGTTAACCTGTGATCAGTGTATACTTGTTCTTTATGTTAGGAAATATGTCTTTGATATGTAGAAGAATACAGATGCTCACCCTGTAGACCAGGGCTGGCTGTTGTGTCTTCCTCCTTCCTCTCAAGAGGTTACCAGATGTGGCGTTTGCCATTCCCACCTAGTTCTTTACATTTTTGTTTCATATGTATTTTCTAAGCTAAATAAAACATTATATATAGATTTGTAAATATATAAAACACACATATACTCACACACACAAACACATATAATAGTTTTTTAGATAGCTTTTATTCACTGTGTCCAAAATACCTGACAGGAAAAATTTAGAGGAGGGAAAGTTTATTTGGGATTAATGATTTCAGAGATCTCATTCTGTAGATGGCTGACTCCACTGCTCTGGGCCCAAGGTGAGTAACATATCATGGATGAAGGGCCCAGCAGAAGAAAGCTGCTCAGCTCATTGTGAGATCAGGAAGGAGGGGGGGTAGGGGGAGGGAGGGAGGGAAGGGGTGGGGGTGGGGAGGAGGTGTCACAAGGAACATGAACCCTTTTAGGGCATTCCCCCAGTGATCCTCCTCCTCTAGCCATGCCCCACATGTGTACAGTTACCACCCAGTCAGTCCATTCAAACTAAGAAGGACTGACTAGGTTATAGCTCTCATAATCTAATAATTTTACCTCTGAACATTCCTGTATGGACAGGAGCTTTGGGGGGCATCTCATAACCAAACCAACCAACTATCTATCTATCTATCTACCTATCTATCTACCTACATATCTACCTACCTACCTACCTACCTACCTAATGAAAACATCACCATTCTTTGGTGGATATGTAGTGTGATCAAGAAATAGACTTTAATTATTTTAAGTTCTGAGATTTTTTTTTATTTGAAGCAAAATATACTCTGCTCTGACTAATAAAATTTGTTTTTTTGTGTGTTTTGATAACTAAAAGTCCTGCAAAAGGATAATAATTATGAAAATGAGATGGGGAATGAGCTAGATTCTAAAAAGTCAACTATGATGCTAGGTGACAAAAAGAGAACATAAAGGTTGATGGCTTTTGTTATAAATATGAAAATGTTGATACAAACTTTTATTATAGTATTTTACTTTTTTTGAATAGTGAAGTATGCATGGGGCACTAGAAGGTGTTCATACAGGCCTGTCTCCCTTGGACCTTTCCCCAGCCATAGGAGGCCACTACTGCAGTCTGTATATATTCCATATATTCTTCTGTTGGATTACCCAAGTGGCAGTATAATAACCTTTTTTTTTTACTTTAAAAACATGAAAATAATAGATTGTAAACAGTAACGTGTTTTCCTCTCAGAGATCCATGATTTTCCTCTGCTTACTCCCAGCTATCCTAGCTGATTTTTTCAACTCATTGTCTTAGTCCATATGTTGTTACAACAAAATAACACAGATGGGGTACTTTATCTATAATTATAATTTTCGTAATTATTAAGACTGGAAATCTCCTGATCAAGGGGCCAGAAGTATCCTTGTTCACTGAGGACTGCAGTCTTTGCTTCTAGGCTGCCACCTCATTGCTGTGTCCTCTGGAAGGGATGGCCTTAGATGGCATAAGGGCTGGAAAGGCAAAAAAAAAAAAAAAAAAAAAGGACTAAAAGCTGTGTGAGGGCTTTTTTATAAGGGTCTTAAGTCCCATTCATGAGGGAGGAGCTCTCACCATCTAATCAGCCTCCACAGGCCACCCATCCCCAGTACTGTTGCACTGGGGATTAGGTTCATCATGATTTTGGAGGACACATGAATGTTCAAGCCATAGCACTCATGAGCAGGTGCTTTTTGGACACTGTCTCAGGCACCATTCAAGGCTCTGGAGTGGAGGAATGAAAAAGATGGACAAAACCTACCTTGTTTAGGGGGAGCTTGCCTTCTTGGCTGGTGTTTATAAATAGAGATATAAGTAAAGATCTCCATGGTAGACCAGAGGAGGGAGAAATGAATTTCTTCAAACACGATAAGAGGAAGATTTCAGGGAAAAGCGCATGTGTATCTGGACTTGAAGTGCTTGGTAGAAGTTCAGCGGGTAAAACTGGAAAGAAAAGATTCAGTAGCACATTTGAACTGGAATTATTTTGGTTTTATTTCAATTGTGTGTTATCTATTGGTACTAGGAAGTTCTATATTCAAAGTTACTATTGGCTTGAAAATTTGGCAACTTGTTTTCTTTTAAAAATGATGTTTTGTTTCTTAGGAGTCATTTTCTGATGACCTACTTTTTTTTTTTTTTACTTGTTTATTTAGGTGAAATAGACATGAATATTTTTATAAATGCTTTTTATCGTTTTTTTCCTTCTTTCTAAAATTCATAATAGTTTTTTTCTTTGTTTCACTTCTTTTAAATACTTTTTTATGCATATGTTATAATTTTATTTGCTTTAATGTCATTATGTGCCTACACTCTCAACTTTGGATGCATTCTAAGAATTACTTGAAGAGCTTTAAAAATGCCATTTACTAGGCACTATTTGTTTCTGAGGTTTAGTCTGGGCACCAAGATTTTCAAAAGCTCTTCAGTTTCCCCTTTGCACTCAAACTTTAGAAACCATTGACTTAAAGAGTTTAGAAAGTAATTAAAACATGCTGTTTGGGGAAAGTAAATAACTGTGGCTCACCTGAGTAGCGTGATCAATGTGTCATCTTAAATTTCTTGTCTGGAATAAAGTGAAATAATTATAATTGGGATGATATACGTTGAAGTCTTCACATTTGATAAATATTTTTATCAAACCATGAAAGGAATTAAATGAAGCCTATATATGGACAGAATAATTTCCCAAACTTAGATTCCTGCAAGGATGGGATAAATTGTCTTATTATTGTATAGAGTTCAAACTCTATACAAAAGAAATACAAGATTTGTTACAAATTAGCAAACTTGCTCACAGAGCCTGGTGGTGTTAGGTGAACATTGTTTTCAAACTCTTCTTGACTTTGGCACCTACTTTTAATGTACTGAGTACACTGATACTATAAAGGAGGCCTTTGTTTACTCTAGTAACAAGATGTTGGACATGACCTGGTAAACTCGTTACCTCCCGAAGTATCAGAAAACCTCTAGAAAGATATGGAGCTGAACTCTATGCTTCTACTGTCTTTTCTTCTTTGACGTGATCTAGTCTGTGTCCAGCTTACAATAAAAAACTGAAGGGAGGTTTGGTGATGTTTACTATGATTTCACTGTTTGGTTTTAAGTATTGCAAATACTATTGCAGTACATATTACAAGACATGCCAGAATACAGCTGTGTCTTGCAGTATGTACTGCATTAGAATTGTTGACTTCTTATATGCCTGTGTAGCCTATTAGCATGGTATCTGAAAATAGTGAAATTCAATGAAGAGAATATTTAATTAGAATTGAGTTAAAAGTCTAGGTTTACAGTTTCTAAGCTGCTTTATCTTATCTCCAGCCTTAGTTTCTACATCTGGAAAATGGGGAAGAATTGAACTGAAGTTTAATGTTGGTTAATGAGATAAACTGTTTTAAATATTAACACATTGCCACTGTTGTTCTGAAATAAATATCACTAGTTTTGAAATAATGGTATTTGGGATGATATATGTGAGTCCCATTTAATGTAGCTGTATTTCTGAATTTCTGATGAACCAGATAAATTTCCTAGTAAAGGTGTTGGTAACATGCCTTTATCATAATAATAGGTTGCATAATTTTTCATCGTGCTTAGAGATGTTTTATAAAACTCAAAGATTCTTACATTTATGAAGGGAAAAATCAGAATGTTGATAATATAGACCTCACAATATAGTCAGGGCATAGAAACCTAAGTTTATACATATACAGTACCCACACAAAATGTACTGTAGGCCATGTTGACATGCAGATCAAAGTGGTTCATTCATTTAAAAATGCTTGTTGCGTTCCTCTATGTACTCAAATAAGATCATCATGGTGATAACCCCTCCTATTTAATGCAGCTTAAAATTATTCTTATTTTTAAAGATACAATTCAAATGTGATCTACTTTATTATTATTCCTTTCTTTCCCCTTCAAAACAAATCCCTTCTCCACATTCACTCAGCAAGCTCTCTCTACCCTGGTGGTTATTTTATAAAATATCAATGTTTTACACATATTAAAAGTATCACTGCAGTTACATTTTAGGTATTAGATTGAAGATTGCATTGTTTCTGGTTAAGGAAGTCTGGCTCTGACATTAGAAGTATCTTCATTTTGGGGTAGGGGCTGTGGCTCAGCGGTTGAGCGCTCGCCTAGAATGTACAAGCCCCTGGATTTGATCCTCAGCACCACATAAAAATGAAGAAATAAATAAAATAAAGGTATCATTTCCATCTATAACTTAAAAAATAAACAAATATTCTTTAAAAAGAATCTTCATTTTAATTTCCACTTTTGTCTCTCAGCAGACAAAATTGTTCTTTACAAGCTCAATTTAGTTACCTATGATATGGAGACAAAAAGCTTCTACCTCAAAGGCTTGCTGAAATTAAGTGGCATAATATAAAATGCTGAAGATTATAAGTGTTCAGTAAGTGGTAGTGAATTTTTTATTGTTGTAATCATGTAAAAATGATACATAATTTCATAGAACCCCCTCCACTTGACACACTCTTTCAGGACTGAGACCATCACTTGGCATTTTGTATAACTCTTTTTAATCTTTATTTTTTAGTTGTAGTTGGGCACAATACCTTTGTTTTATTTATTTATTTTTATGTGGTGCTGAGGGTCAAACCCAGGCGGGCCCTTTACTCCCCCACCCCATTTTGTATATGTTTAAGAAGAAGTTCATTAATAAATACTTGTTGATCAAATACATTAGTTTTTGTCATTACCTGACTTTTAAAAAAATAGCATTGGCATATATCAAAAATTCATAAAACATTTTTTTTTCTAAATTATTTTGTTTTAAAATTCCTATAGGTACCTTCGAAGTTCATAACTATCTTAAAATCTGAGGATTCCACCAAGATAATATGATAAGAACTCGCAATGATTTGGGACCACATCCTACTTAAACTAATGTAAGACGTGCAGATTTCATGAGAGTGTGGTACAGCTGCGAACATTGCTTTCCCATTGGCATAGGCAGTAATGCCATCTCTGCCTCAGGAGGGAGGTGAGCAGACTGGCTGAGCCACATTACACCATATGATATGTTGTAGATCATTACTGTTTACTGTTGAGTGTGCAAAATTATTTTATACTTTTGAAGTACCATGATTTATAATTTTACCTTGTTGGGGGCATTTGTGTTTCTGGTGTGGGTATTTTTTCCAATTTCTGTTATATTTGGTTGTTTTTTACATTTCTTTTAAAGTTATTCAGGGACCCTCTCCCCTGGATCTGAATATGGAGTTACCTTATCAAAGCACCATGAAAAGAAAAGTCAGAAAGAAGAAAAAGAAGGGAATCATTACTGCAAATGTTGCTGGGACAAAATTTGAAATTGGTACGTCTCCTCAGAATCACGGGATTTTAAAAATTGCTGGAAAAACTGATTTGGTGTTGAAAACATCCTAAAATTGCAGAGAGATAACTATCTTTTATGTAATGGGTTTTTAAGTGCTTCGTATAAAATTTCTGACATGCTGGAAGGATTCTTTTTCTATGCAGTGGAGGATGATATCCTTAAAAAGATCCTAAGTGGTTTCTAAAATTTCAGTTCAAACAAAAAGACAGTTAAATAGCTTAGGTGAAAAAAAAAGTGAGAGTTTTAAACTTGACATTGTATTTTTCCTTAAAGCTCAACTTAGCTCTCTGAACTTTGATGTTCTTTATAAAAGGGATTTAGATATGACTGACCCTAAAATTTGATTTTGTGTATATAAAGAAAGAATAGATCTTCTTCATTCCTTTTACGCAACCTTGATGTTCCCAGCTCCACTGATTTGTGTGCCCATAATACCCAGACTTAAGAAGCTTATCATACTCCCTGCTCCATAGCTGCCAGTTCTGTTTATCTCAAGTTCCTTTGTGTGAATTTTGAGAGGCCCCTGACAGTGGCTCTCATTTACTCAGGAATAGGTCTGCTCCTGAGCTGTTTGTAGACCAGTGAAAGAATTCTCCCAGGCTGTGCTGCTATTGTCCTTGCCCTCTGTGTGAGCTCTAGGTGGCACAACCCTCAGGATGCCAGAGCTCTGACAGGAGGCAGGAATGGACCTTTCCTTCAGTTCTTGTGTGTTTGCACATGATCACCTGGGGCTTCCATACAACCCCAGGTTCCACTTGGCCTCCCTGGGAAACAGCAACTCCAGCTTAGCAGCTGTCTCCATTTCCCTCCCCTCCTTCACTGCATTTGCTGTTCTCTTCCTCATGCCCGTCATGGACACTGCTGCATAATAATGTCCTTTCTTCTCAGCTAGCAAATGTTAGGAGGCCCTAGAACTTGAGACCAACAGGTGTGGGGTTATCAGTTTTCTATGTGAACTACGTCATTTCAACAATTGATACATCATAGATAGGGTACTAGTAAAAAAAAGAAAATAAAACATTAAAAACTTGTATAGTTTTTAATGCACTCTTATATAGTTCCTGCATCTTTGTGTTCTGGTTCAGAATTCTGTTGGAACCCCCAAATTATGCTAAGTATATTGCTTATCTTTATTTTAAACTTGAAATTTGTTGGAAAAAAATGTCAATATATTAACTGTGTTCAGAAAGGAATGCTTAAATAGTTTGTACTCAAAATGAAGTTTTTCTCCTGGTATTGATTTCCTCAGTAGAATGACAGGATTAGGTTGGAAGCACAGGAGGAGGGGCCATATCTAAATTCTTCCTGTGAATTCTGCTACACTAGTGCATACTCAGAGTAAACACAGATGACTTGGTTTCAGGAGCCGAAAATAATTTGAACTAGGGAGTTAGAAAATCCAAGATAGGTATGAAGATCAGGTGCTATTTTTACATTTGCCCTTTTGTACCTATCTCCAGGTCATGAAAAAGAAGTAAGAGTGAATTTGTATCTCAGTCTTGTCTCAGCTGTTTTTTTTTTTTTTTTTTTGTTTTCATTGTGCTAAAATTGACTACTTAACCTTTTGGGAGTTTATGTGCTTATTAAATCTGAGAGGACTAAAACTAGGGTGTTGCGTACAACCTAATACAGTTTTTGGTTATTTTGAGAAAAAATTGTTCTTAGATAAAACTGTTTTAATTAGAATTGTAGGTATGCTACAAGTAATGCATTTTTTATAAAACAAATACTACATTAATTAGTTTGTATTATTTGTGACATTATATATTACATATATAAATATTTCAGAAGTATTTTAATTCTGGTTTAACTATTTGTTTGCAGTTCGCTTAGTAATAGATGAAATGGGATTTTTGAAAACTCCAGATGAGGATGAAACGAGTAATCTTATATGGTGTGATTCTGCTGTTCAGCAGGAGAAAATTGTAGAGCTGCAGAATTACCAGGTGGGACATTAATTACAACTAGTTCCTAGTATGAGGAAATTATATGGATTCCATCATGGTTTCTTTACATAGGCCCTTAGTCTGCTGACATAGTAGATTCCAGTTCTAGTTTACCTCAGCCTGTTTTGTTGCTTTGTGATTGTATTGACTCTGCATGAAGCCTGCATCTTTTTCAAAAAACTTAACTTTTAACCTCCTTCTTTCTTTAAATTATATTTAGTAGGAAAAATCCTTTTCCCAAGAATGTGTTCTGCATTACCCATAAAGAAGAGATTGCATGGGGAGATCAAGAAATGGAACTATCTTGCAGTGTTAGATATATGTAATTTGGCTTTTATTTTTAAAATGTAACATACATTTTTATTCAGAAGAAAGTAGATATCACATTGAAAAACTAAATACAAGGACTATATAAGTTGATATTTTATATCATCCTTCTTCATTGGTTAATTTAGAGGATAATACATAAATGCCATTTTTTTCTACAAGGCCTATGTGTATTAAGGTAGTAAATGTAGTATGCCCAAAACAGTTTGGATATTGAATTACCACATATTCAACACAGGACATTATTTACCATCTATGTAAGATCTTTCTCTGATTTATTTAAAATTTTATAATTGTGTTCTCTATTATAACAGACTTCTTAAATCACAATTTAATTATAGATCATTTAATTTAAAATCCTTTACATTAATAATTTCTAGTTTATTAAAACAACTCAAAGGATGGGGATTTGATTGTATTTAGTATAAATGAATATATTCATTAACTCAATAAGAATATTAATATTTACTTTTTTTATTTTCCAGAGGATCAACCATTTTCCAGGAATGGGGGAGATCTGTAGAAAGGATTTCTTAGCAAGAAATATGACCAAGTAATCTTCATTTCCTTGTAATAGAGAAGAGCTGTTTGAGATTTTATACTGTGACTATTGTAGTGCTATCTTTTATGAGTTTACATTGATTTGAAATGATTTCTAGATGGAAGAGAATTTTAGAGCTAGAACGATCTTAATAGTTCCCTTGTTCTAGTCTTCCATTTTGCAGAGGAGGTAACTGAGAATCAGAGAAATGATTATCTTGCTCAAAGTCAAACGAATAGTTAATAACAGAGCTGGATCAGAATTCATCTCATAATCTCAGTACTCTTTTTACTGTAATTTGTTGTTTCTTTAGTAACAGAAGTTTTTCTTTTAAATGTGAGTAGTAGTCTATGTGGCATTCAATTGATATTTGCTTAGTTTTACTGTATAGTAACTAATTGGTTGCATTATATGCCGTGTATGTGTGTGTGTGTGTGTGTGTGTGTGTGTTCACACTGGTTATTGAACATCTAACATGTGCCAGGCACACAATACACAGATACAGGTATGCATGCTCACGCAGGGGTGTACATGCATGTAAATTAATCTCTGAGGTCAGTAACAATGTACTTTCAAAGAAAAAATTGTTAACAAATACTTCAGTGTTTTGCTAGATGAACTGTAGAATGTTTATGTACTTTATACTTTTGTTGTTTTATGTTTTAGATTTTTTTTTAGTTTAAGAATGTTGAGTGGTAAGAATTTACTAAAAGGAAAGAAGTCTATTCTTAAAGTATAGTAAACTTATGTTTATAATTAAGAACTATTAATGTGTGAAAGTTTATAATTTCTCATCTATTCATGAGACAACATTTTTTTGTAGGTCTGGTATATGATCCAGAGGCTGCTAATTTTTAAGTAAAAGGATAATAAGACTTAGTTCCTGCCTAAAACTCATAATTTAGTTAGAGAGTAAGACTAATACGAAGAGTCATGGTGTTCACACATCACTATTAGGGAGAGCTCACACTATTCGGGGGTCAGAAAGGTACAATTAAATATACAATGGATGTGGAAAATGTATACAGGGCTTACCCTTTGAGAAGGTAAGGAGCTCACAGCAGACATAGCAGTGGGAGAAAATATGTGAAGACTTGAACCAGCCTGACATTTGGGCACCTTTAAGCAGTTTCTATGGTAATGTATGATGTTGCAAGACTCAGTCTGAGATGATACTGGAAATTTATGCAAATGCAAGGACACATGTGCCATGTTATTATATTTTATTTCATCATTCATTCCTCTTTTTATCTACTCAGCAAAAAAGTTTTTCATCTTGAAAGAGGAAATTATTGAATAAACTTAAGCAGAGAAATAATGTCTTAGAATCATGGTGGCACTCTGCATAATGAATTCAATGAAGGTAGGAGTAGAGGGTGAAAACTGTGAGATGATTGTCATTAGTTAAGAAGTAATGACCATCTAATGAACCACAGGAGTGTTAGTGGGAATGAGGAATGGAGAAGAAATCTGAGTGTTGTTAAAGATAAAATTAATGTGCCATCAGGGATATTAAAGAGATGGAATTGACTGAAAATGGCTTTGATGTGAGTATTAAAGATGGGGAGGGGAGAGGTTTTCAGGATGATTCCCAGGGTTTTGACTTGGAATATTATGTAGGTAGCATGATTACAAGGAATATAAGAAGAATAGGCTTCAGGGGAAAGGGAATTTACCTCTGTAAAGTTTTGGGCATGTGTCTCGTTTGTCATTTAACACACTTATTAAGGACCTATTATGTACTATGAATGGTGTTGGGATCTGGGTACATAAGTCATCAACAGCAGATCTATTGTTACTACAACATTCAACTGCAACTGTGCTAGTGCTATGAAGTGAAGGTTTGTAGTTCTAAACCTGTGTGTAGAACAGGAGCTCTGACCTAGTTAGGAAGGTATGGGAGAGTTTCCCTGAGGAAGTGATGTGGAAATTGATACATGAATGATGAATAGGACTTTATTGGTACAGATACTAGATAAGAAACATCCAAGCAGGAGGAACAGCATGGACCAAGGTCATATGAAAGGAGAAAGCATAAATAATCAATATACCGAAATAATGTCAAGTGCAGTTGCAGCATAGAGGTGGATGGGGAACTGGGGAGAGATTAACTGAGGGTGAAGATGTTCAGAATTATGATCTTTATCTCCAAGCCATGGGGGAGGTAGGTGTTAGGAGACTAAGAGTGATGGTAGTGTGACCAGCTTCTCATTTTGTGAAGATGCTTTTGGCTGTTTTGTAGATAAAGAAGTTTGTGTGAGAGAGGTAAGAGGATAAAGGTAGCTCTGTGAGCAGGCTACTGCAGATGGGCGTTTCTTATTCCACAGAATCCATGGAATTCTCCCTATGGAAAAAGTAGTTTTCTGTTGGATAAGAAGTTATAACCTAAACATAGAGTTAACTAAATTACTTATTTACTATTAGTAAGTCCATGACAAAATAGAAATTATCACAGATATCTTCTTAATTAGAACTGAGTATTTCTTTTGAGCTAGATAACTTAAATGGAGTAAGTATTCACTTGAACATATGCATGCTTTGCTCTTTTCCAAATATGTATGGTTAGTTTTTGAGATGTATTATTCTGATTAAAAACTTTTACATGATCTAATTTTATAGGATTGTTAAATACATAATAAATTTAAAGGTGTTGGAAACAAAGACCATGACATTAGCACTGTTATTTTGCTTTGTTTCAGTTGTCTTTAATTTTCAAACCAACCTATGTTATTCTATTTTGTACTGAGATTATTTTAGTTCGTTGGCTTAAAATAGATTTGCCAGATGAAATGGGTAATTATTTTCTTTCTCCTAGGAGTAACTTTTTAATAGGATTCTCATGAGAAAGCACTTTTTAAATATAACTATATGAGTCTTCTGTTGTGTAACTCAAGTGACTGATATATTCCACACCCAGTCTTAGAATTTAGACTCTGATTCTGTGCAAGCATTACACTATGACTCCATTTTATTTTTTATTTTAATTTCACTTGGCAGAAATGAAATTTCAGAAAAGATTTTTGGAAAAAAATCTTCTTTAAAAACAATCAGATTTTCATTAGTAGGCAATATTTAAAAAACCTTTCTCATAATTTCTTCATTTTACCGGGAACTACTAAGTACAGAATTATTAACATTTGGGATTAATCAATATTAAACATTTTAAGCTTATTATTATTTCTAAATGATGTTATCTAATAAAAGAGGTGACCTAATTTATAGCAAAACAAAAGTATCAGGACCTACATCATAACTATATAATCACATGTACAGATAGTGCATACAAATAATAATCAACACCTCTGTTGATTCATATGCTTTCACATGGTTTCTCAGAAAAGTAGTTAAATTCTAAAAACAGTAGCATCAAAGGAAATTAGTTGCTCTCCATGGGTGACGCAGAGTCATGTTTAAAGAGCCAGTGTGTCTGGCATTTGGCCTTGAGCTTCCTTGCCAGTTGGTGACTCACTCCAGTGCCCTTGCCTCATATGCCATCTATGCACTCATCATTTTGTTTTGTGATTAACAGCCTTTCTCTGAATTCACTGGGGCAGAGACTATATTGCTTTTATGTTACTATTGCCAGTACCTGGCACAGTGTATAATCAAATAGATCTTTGGTGCAGTAATATGGAAATTACTACATAGTAGGGCAGAGATTTTTGATCTACGTTTTGCAGTGATGGATCTAGAAAAGTGTAGACTAGTGTCTTGTACATAGTAGGTGGATCTATAAGTGAGTGAATCAATGAAGAAATGAAGAAAGAATTGTAGTATCCCTAGCAGAGAAATAAAACAAAAAATTTAATACAATTTATCTTTCATATTGTCTCTAATTTATAGAATGATCAAGTCTCGGCCTCTGGATTATACCTTTATTCCTCGAACATGGATCTTCCCTTCTGAATATACTCAATTCCAGAACTACGTGAAAGAATTGAAGAAAAAACGGAAGCAGAAAACTTTTATAGTAAAACCAGCTAATGGTGCAATGGGTCATGGGTAGGTTTATTGTTACCTGGAATATATAAAAATTTTTAAAATGGAGGAAAAGTAATAATGTGTATTATTGCTCGTGATTAAGTACTGTTATGAAAAAATAGTAAAAATGAAGTTTTTAATTATTGTTTTTTGGAACTAAAAGCTTATAAATGCTTAATGAGGTTCATTCTTTAAACTTATCTCACAAGCTTTGGTAATTCAATTTAAAGATTAAATCAGTAGGTGTGAGACCTTTAATAAATAACAAAATGGAGGGGAAAAAAGCTGTATTCTACTTTCTTCATAGACATAAAATGCTCATTTATAATAATTTTAATAATGTCTGAGAGTAAAGTCATTTGCTATAGTAAAGATAAGGAAATGGAAGGAAGTTACTCTTTGTATAGCTAGAACCCTGAAACAGAATAGTATGATCTTTGCTGGATAAATAGTTTTTTTTTTTTTTTTTTTTAACTGTAGCCATGATAATTGGGTTGGAAATGAGTAGAACACATTTTAAGCTACAGTGCCAAGAATTAGACATGTTAACTGAAAATAGAATTTGGACTTAAAATTCTTGTTTCCTTTTGCTTTTTTATATTTAGTTGTTTGCAATGCACTTTTAAAAAGAAAATGTGGCTGAAACTATTTTTAATAAAATAGACTTAAGTGATTTAAAATTTTTTTTATAAAAAATGCTATGGGGATAAAGGATTCTTGGAAATGGTAGCTACTTTGGAAATTATTGTCCAAAATTTTCCTTTAACTTTTAATCATAATGTAATGTTTCAATCATACATTATATTTAAATGTAGTTTGATAAAATAATCAAGTATGTTGGTGGCAATTTTGTGTCAACTGCTTAATGTTAAGTTGGTTTCCTATAGGTATCAAAAGGAAATTTTTTGGAAGGATTATTGAATTTTATATTTTTCCTCAATTTTAGTGTTAATATTTAATATAAATATATTTATATTTATTGTTAAAATGTATATAAGTAATAATTCTCCAATTTCTTTTTATTACAAAATAAAAATTACTGGAAGAGCAGATAATTGAAATGGTATTCTGTGTTGCCTGAGTTTGTGTCCTATAATGCAACAGTATGTATGTAAAGTTGCTTCTTTTCTTTGTTTAAGTTGTCTGCTTCTTGCTGATCTTCAGTGAAATTATGGAGAACTGTCCCTTCCAACTGTTATTGAACTGTTTATCCCCTTGACTATACCAGTTTTTGCTTTATATGTTTTAAAGCTCAGTTGCTAAATGCATATATATTTGTACTTATTATGTATTCTTGATGCATTGGTATTTTTTATCATTGCATAATGTCATTTTTTACCTCTTGTAGTAATTTTTGTCTTAAAGTGTCTTTTATCTTATACTAGTATAGATCTCCAGATTGTTGTTTACATATAATATCTTTTCACTTTCAGCCTATTCAGACCTTTGACTACAAAGGGAGCTTTTTTTTTTTTTTTTTTTGCCAATAGCGTATAGTTAGATCATATTTTTAAAAAATCCATTCTTCCAAGCCCTGTCTTTCATTAGAGAGCTAATCTACTTATATTTAATGTAATTACTGAAAAAGAGTTATTTCCTTTTGCTATTTTGTTCTTTATTTTGTATATGTCTTATTATATAGTTTTTATTCCTAAATTTCTCCACCGTACTCTCTTTTGTGTAAATAGATGTTTTTTATAAACTTAAATTCCCTTGTAATTTCTTTTACTATAAGTTTTAGAGTTATTGTTTAATGCAATTAACAATAATTTATAATAATCTAGTATTCTGTGTCCATCAGCATAGATTTATAACTGTTTTTTTTTAATGCAGTTGTCTTTTAAATCATTAAAATAATGAAGAATTACAAACCCAAACTACATTGTTAGTAACTTTCATACTTATTTGTGTTGCCACCTTTCTGGTATTCTTTGGCAATTTATTTATTATAAAGTAGATATGAATCTCTTTGAATTTATTCTCCTTGGAGTTAAATAAGATTCTTGGATGCATAGATACATGCTTTCCATCCAACTGGGACGTTTTCTGCCATAATTTCTTTAAATCTTCTTTTTGATTTTTTCTGTTTATTTTTCTTTATTTGTTTTTTATGTTTCTTGTTCCACAGACTACATTATTTCAACTGGCCTATCTTCAAGTTTGCTGATTCTTTTTATGCTTTCCCCAGTACACTATTTAGTGACTTTTTCATTTCAGTTACTTTACTTTTTAACTCCCAAATTTATATTGGTTCTTTTTTTACAACAATTTTTTAATGCTCTGTTTAATGAGACTTTTTTTCATGATTTTCTCCAATTATTTTATATAGTTTCCGTTAGATCTTTGAAACAAATTTTAAATAGTGATTTAAATAGTTGTTTATCTAGTAAAGCCAACATCTAGGCTTTATTTATTTATTTCACTGCATATGGGTTATATTTTGTTTCTTATTTGCATAGTTCATAATTTTTGATTGAATATTATAATGTAGCAACCATGGAAATCAGACTCTTCCCCCTTGTGTTGTTTGTTGTTGTTGCTTTGTTGTAGCAGTTTTTTGTTTATTGACCTCTTGGAACTGATTTTGTGAATTCTGTATTTTTTGTTGTGTGTGGTCACTGAAGTTCCTTATCTGTTAGCTCATTTCTTAGCTGGAAATTTGACAGAGATACCATCAAACACTTAGACCCAAACAAACAGCTTGGGAAAACATGGCTGTCTTTGCAGATGTATGCTGTGTTTGTTGGGTGCTCCTTTACCACTTCACTTTAGCCTTTAGTGCCAACTTGCCTGATGGTTAGTCTGAGATGAGAATGTGTGGTCTTTTCAGATATTTACTGAGCACACATAACCTGCTCCTGAGCATGACCATTGCCCTCTAGTCTCACTGGAGAAAGGACTTCTCAAAGTCCCAAAGGTTTTCATTCCCAAGCATTTTCACCTAGTCTTTTTTAAGAAGTCTGTTGTTTGTTCCAAGTATTATTTGTTGCAGTAGGCAACAGACATTTACCCTTAAATATTTTCAACAATTGTACCTCAAGGGGCACCTCAGCTCTGGTAGAACTCTGAGTTACATAAGATAAATGGAAAGCCTTGAGTTCTTCCAGGGAAACACAGACAGGTAAAATAAACAACTGCAGGAATAAGGTCCATTCGGCACATTCCAGAATTGGTACTTATGCTAGGAATATAGGCTATTATTTAAGGCCACTGCTCAGCTGGGATTACATGGTGGGACCAGAGCAGGTTAAAATGCCACAAAACTTTTTTTTTTTAATAGATTTAGCTGTTTTTTTCTTGATTAAGTGGCCTCTGGATGTTGTAGGCTTTTGATAAGTTTCTGGAGCTCTAAAATGTTGATTCTGACAGTTTTTAAAAAACTATTTCTTGCTTTTGTGGAGGGATAGGTTTTTGGAGTTTCCTTTTTCATTATTTTCCTCCTGAGTATGTAGATGACTTTCTGAACATTTTGTTTCCATATCACATTATTCATTTTGGTGTTTCTCTTTAAACTTAGGATTTCTTTGATACGAAATGGTGACAAACTTCCATCTCAGGATCATTTAATTGTTCAAGAATACATTGAAAAGCCTTTTCTAATGGAAGGTTACAAGTTTGATTTACGAATTTATATTCTGGTAACATCATGTGATCCACTAAAAATATTTCTCTACCATGATGGACTTGTGCGAATGGGAACAGAAAAGTATATTCCACCTAATGAGTCCAATTTGGTAAGTGGTACCAGAGAGAATTTTTGGTTTCATGTATTTGTTTAATATATACTTACTGAAGTATCTATTACATATTTAAGATTGTATGAATCAAAATTGCTCATCTTAGGCTTTTATGATCTAGAAGAATCATATGCCCAAACAAGACTGCTTCTAATTTTTGTTAGCACAACAAAAAAAGTAGGATTGTAAATTTACACTGATGAAATGTGAATTTAAGATATAATTTAGCAGTTTGTGTGCTTTTTAATGTTTATTAATCGGAACATTTTGTAGATGCTTTTTCATTAAGATTTCTTTTATGCAGCCATAACATATTCATGAAAGTCATACTGTAACATCATGGAAACCATCAACTGTAATTTGCAATTTATGAAAGCCAGGTTGTAATTTCTTATCTATACATAAAATTTTAGTTACCTTCTAATTCTATTTTTGGATCTACTATTCATAATAAAAATTGCAATTAATTATTGTTTTTTTGTTTTGTCAAAAGCCTGATTATTGTTCCCTTCTAGTATTATGCACATAATTATCCCCAACAAGAGAGATCATACTTCAAAATGGAATAGTGGCTGCTCATAAATTTTGCTGTTCAATACACTGAAAATATGTAAACCTTGGCAAAGGAAGAACAAGGGAGCTGTCAAAAGTTTTATAGGAAAGGCCATTAAAAGAAAGAAACATCTCATTAAAGGTCATAAGGAGTGGAGATAGCCAATCACCAAGAAATGTTTGAAATCCACTATGTTGTAGGCATTGTGCTGGCTTTGGAAAAAGAATGACCAGGACAGATACAGTGCTTGACTTCTCAGAAGCAACACTCTAGTGGGGAGGCAGAAAATAAAATAAGCAAATATAATTACTGATGGTAAGTGTGATGGTCTAAGAAACTGAGGGTGCTGTGGTAGTGCATAGCAGTGGCACCTGACCCAGTTTAGGATAAAGATTTAGAGAAGTAGTTTGTTTGTAAATTGAAGTCTGCATAATGGGGAGCTTATTCAGGTTTGGATGCAGTGAGGTGTGGGGTTGGCTGGTGCCAGACAAATGAACAGATCAGAGGTAAAAGAGAGGGTGGTATGTCTGGAGAAAGCAGAAAATTCAGTCTGGCTAAAGTACAGATGAAGTTGGAGAGTTTGGCACAGCAGATCTTTCAAGACTTTGTAGTCCATGGTTGTGGTTTGGTGTGGGTATGAAGTGTCCCCCCAAAGCTCCTATGTTATTGCAATAATGTTCAGAGGTCCAGCCTAGCTTGAAGGTACTGACTGGGTGGTAACTGTAGGCAGGTGAGGTGTTACTGGAGGGAGGTGGCTCACTGGGGTATGCCCTGGGAGGGTTCCTCTTCCTTGCAGGCCCCTTTCCCTGTCCTTCTCTCTGCCTCCTGGCTGCCAGGAATGGATCAGTGCTCCTCATCACCCTCTCCCCACGAGGCACTGTCTTACTTGGGTCCAGAGCAATGGACTCAGACGGCAGTGGACTAAACCTCTGAACTATGAGCCAAAATAAACTTCTTCACCTCCTCTAAGTTGTTCTTGTCAGGTATTTTGGTCACAATGACACAAAACATGACATACCATGTCTAGGATTTTGGAATTTGATTTAAAATGGAAGGGAGCATTGTGATATTTTAAACTAAGGAAAGAAAGGGCGAGATTTGTGTTTTAAAAAGGTCACATAGTCTGCAATGTGTGGGGGATGTGATTGGGGTGCAGATGGGTAGCAAAGATTAGAGGAAGGGAGACAAGAGACTGAGCTTTAGTTTGATCACAAATGAGAAGGGGAATGACTTAAGCTGAAAATAACAGCATTGAGGCTGGACAGAGAATATGAAATAAGTCTTGAGATTTATTTACGATAACATGGATAAAACTGATATAATATGATGGCAGGTTGAATTTGTGGAATTGAGAGTAAGGGAGAGGAAAATCAAGAATTAAACTCAAGATCTTTGGCATGGGCAAGGGGGTGAATGGAACATTATTCACTGTGACAGGGATTTATCAAAGGTTTTGTGGAAAGTTTCTGTGTTCCTTTGAAATGTTTATGTGACCTCCAAGTGGATCTGTTCTGTAGGCATTTGGATATATTGTATGGGCTTTTGAAGTTCAGAAGAGAGGTCTGGACTGCAAGTGAATTTGGCACATGCCAGTTCATAGATTATAATTAAAATAATTGGAATTGGTAAAAATGGATTATCAATTATGTGAGGCAGTAGTGGTTTTTTTTTGGTAGTATTGGAAAGAAGCCTTGGAAGCTCTTTTTTGGGTGCTTCTTTTTTTAACAAATGCTTTATTATTACATGTTAGGGTTGTGTGTCTACAATTTGCTCGAGAATACTGGATTAAGAAATTATAATGAGTGAAGGGAAATGTGACCTCTGATGTCTCATTTTGCCAAGTGCTCTGGAATCACAAAAGCTCCTGGCTTTGGTTTTTCATAGAACAAGGATGTTTTTCTATTTAGATGTCATTGTTAATTATCATACAAAATCTATAATTTAATGACTGAATTCCTAGAATGAGGTATGAAAACTAAAAAAGTAAAATATGAAATTTTATGCAAACTGAGACTACAGTTATGTAAAAGGTCAGTTTAAGATAAAAGATTGGGGGGGGGGGAGAAACCAAACAGCGTTTTCACTGGTTGTTTTGGGTAGCAGGCTGCTGCATTCTCTTTTCCTATTTCCAACTTTTAAAACAGTGAACATGTATTGTATAATGAACTGTGTATTTCTATGAAACTTAAATATTTAAAAACTAAATATAAAAAGATTTTTTTTGTGTGTGTGTGTGATTTGGCTTTCAAAGTAATCTTTTTTTTTAATTTATTTTTTTTATTGTTGGTTGTTCAAAACATTACATAGTTCTAGATATATCATATTTCACACTTTGATTCAAGTGAGTTATGAACTCCCATTTTTACCCCGTATATAAAAAGATTTTAAGGCAAGAATGTCAGTTGTGTTGACATATAAGAAACATTCATTTTTTTTTTTAATAATTGTAGTGGTTAGCCAGTCCTTGAAAAGCTCTGATATACAGTTCATTGTTTTTGCACTGTTATATTCACAAACAGGGTAAGGTGGGATCATATCATTTTCACCCTTTGCAAGTTGCAAGGTAGACCAAGGAATGTTTATTGCTAGCTTGATAAAACCATTAATTTGGTATTAATTGATCATTGTATGAGACATTTTAAATTTTGGCTTATTTTTTTTAAGTTTATTTAAGGAGAATATTGTCAACAAACTTAAGAACATAAAGAGACTAAAATGTAAGAGCCCCAGCGTGGAGCACAGTACATTTCCTGTTAATCATTCAGACACGCACAGCATCATGTGGTTCTGTCTGCCAGCTCTGAGTGCTCTGCCCTGTTGATGAGTTATAGTGACCTCCCGCTTCAGTAAAGGAGCCCTGAGGTTGTGTCTGGTAGTCCTGTCTCTTGATTTATGCTACTTGTCTGAGCTTTTGTTTTTTACTTTTCTTTGAAAAGGCATAAAATGCTTTTGCAGAAAATTCCTTTCCTCAAATTAGGGTGAAAATGTTAAGGACCCAAAATATTAAAAACAAAGTAATGAAAACAAATTGGGAACATTTTGCTGCTTAGCAACATTTTGCTGCTTAGCAATTAATTATTTTTTATGTACTTATTCCTTTGATACTTCTTTATGATAGATACTGTTGTGAATCCTATATAAGGTGATTTTGTAGGTGATTACATTCTTAATCCTTTGAAGGGAAATAGGCCATTCCATTTCAATTGAAAATTATCCAAATAATAAGACGATTGGCAATCTGTATAGTTTAAAACCATTTTTAATAATTGAATGCCTTCTTTTCTGTGAAAATATACAGTTGCAGAGTCTCCTAGGTGGTTATGACTTTGGTTCTTACTCCTTGCAGACCCAGTTATACATGCATCTGACAAACTACTCTGTGAACAAGCATAATGAACGTTTTGAACGGGATGAAACTGAAAACAAAGGCAGCAAACGTTCCATCAAATGGTTTACAGAATTCCTACAAGACAATCAACACGACGTTGCTAAGTTTTGGAGTGATATTTCAGTAAGATTGTCTCATTCAATTGTAACCACCTTTTCTCAGCATTAACTTAAAACACCATGAAGCACTTAAAATAAAGAACAGATTACTTCAGATTGTGCAGATAAAGAGCATTTTCATGAAGGAAGTGGACCTGGTGATGGACCTTGACAAGTAGGACTTTAAAAACTGCTAGAGAGAGGAATTCTAGGTGAAGACGAAACATAGGTAAAGGCTTGGAGGTCTGAGAGTAGTGATAGGCGGTGTAGGTTGTCATGTAAGGTATGTGGGATATCTGGGAGACTTACTGCTGAAAAGATATGTGGGGCCAAATTTTAGGTCTGAAAAGTGAGGCGTAGCTTGGTCAGCGGTGGAGATTTATTCAGTTTTTTTGGAAGAGAGCAATATAACCAAAACCAATGCACTTAAAAGACATGTCTAACACTAGGTGTAGTATGGATTAAAGGAAAGATCCAGAGTAGGCAGGGAGGGCACTTGGGAGTCTCTAAAAGTAGTTGAAGTGAAAAAAATGGTCTGAATTGAACCTCAGTAAAAGAGATGACAGTGAGGTAAATATTGGGGTGAACTGAGTATCTATGGTGGAGATGATTGGAGTCCCTTCTGAAGTTTTCGGGAAGATTTGTAGGAAGAATGTGTGTTGCATTATCTGAAATAGACTGAGAAGGAATTAATTTTAAGAAGATGTAGAACCTCTTTTTGAAGATGAAAGAAAAGAGTTTTATTCACTTATTCATTTGTTCATACATGGAATAAGTCTGTCTTTGGTTGATAACTTGAAAACTTAAAAGTCACAGCTTAGATGGTCACACAAAAATTGTTAATAGAAGGCAGTATCATGAGTACAACAGAGGCATGCGTTCCGTACCATGGAGATGTGGAAGACCACCACACCTGGTAGCTGCAAGTGATGCAGACAGAAGGCAGAACTTCCTGGAGACACGGACACCTGAGCAAAGGTTTTTAAAGTGCATGAGGCTATGATGATAAGTTCCACTTCGGATATGGTGATGTTGAAGTGCTGTCTTAGGTAGAACGTCAAGGAGACAGTGAAAAGTGTGTGTTTGGGGTACAACTGAATTAAAGCCGTGGCAGTGGTGAAATTCTAAATGGTGAAGATATAAAAGAAAAGGAAATGGATGTAAAGATAATCTTGGTGAAACAGATCCCTTATCAGTCCTGACAGAAGTATAAAAATGATATTTATAGTTACAGTATGTCTGCTCAAAGTCTCCGTATAATTAAGACCATATAACTCATCTGAGGTTTCTTCTTAGAATGATCAAATAATACATCTGTCATGGAAGATGGTCATGAAAGTTCAGAGTTGGTTGGACTTGGTTCTAGTTAAAAGGATCAGAGAGAAAAATATCGCCTTACTTTTCTGATACCTAAGGGCCTGTAAATCCAAGGTCCTTAGGTACTAGACAAGTAAGGTGTGAAGTGATCTGAACAGAAGAAAGGCAGGGTGTGGTGTGCTGGGAACAGCAGCAATGTGAAGATAGTAAGAGGTCCAAAGTGGGTACAGGCTACTCAGCCTGAGCCTGTTGGTGCCACATGATACTCTAGGCTCAGCATTACTCATCTGCTAATTTGTTAGTAGAAGGCATAATGATTTAGCTATATTGGAAATGAATTCAAGAATTTATTAAAAAATGTTGTCATCTGGATGTGGTCTGTTACCTAAAAATTTGTTAACTTTCAACTATATTTCCTGAGAGACTAAATACACTAAATAAGAAATTTGATTATAAAAATGTGCAGTTATTGGTTTAATTTATCAAGGCCAGTTTTGTGGAAATTCCAAAAATTGTTGTCTACTATCATAGTGGGTCGGAAGCATCCAGGTGGTGAAATTGATTTTCTTAGAGAGTACCTCACTGATGGAAGGTCATACGTAATGACCTCTGGATGATTAATTGAATGAGCCATTAGATGACTAGCTCAGTGATATCAAGAAAGTTTTACAGACCCTCTGGCATCCCCCCCCCTTTTTTTATCAAAGTTTTAACTGCCATGTGGGTTTGATTCTTTGAGGAGGTATTTGTGAAATCATGGGACCTGCTGGACTGCTTTAGGAATGTATAGGAAGAATCAGCCAGAGAGAGATGAGTATTGTTATCCTTGCAGACATGGGTTTTAGGTGGTACTTTTTCTAGACAATTGAATTAGAAGATACATAAGGAAGAGGTCATGGAAATTGACTTTTCCGTTATTACCTCAAGTGTAATTTTTAGAAGTGACCCCAAAATGGCCAATGTAGGCCTGTTGAACTCTGACATATTTCATGATCTTGTCTGTAAGTGGGTAAATTTTGTATCATTTTTGGCTGCTACTTAGAATGTTATATCAATAACCTGTAAATAACCAGTTAAGTCATAATATTTTTGCCAAAGATGTATGATTATGTACATAATTGTTGGCATACATATAATTATTTGAAAATATGCCTTATTAAGAATAGGTATGCTTTATATAGATATCTGTTTAAGGTGAATCAATGGTATAATATAAAAATAGAATTACAGGGAAAGGTAGAGAAAACTATTATGCAGTACATTTTTATCTGAATGCCTTAATTTACAAATTCCGTGAATTAAGGCTTTTTTAAAAAATAGATTTTTTTATGATTTTATTTATTTTTATGTGGTGCTGAGGATCGAACTCAGTGCATCACCTTTGCTAGGCAAGTTCTCTACCACTGAGCTAAAGCCAGCCCCTAAGGCTTTTTTTTTTTAACAACCGATTTTTTAGATGCTTTTTAAAAAAAGTAACCATCTGTATATGAAAACTAACATTGATGAATACCTTCTGTGAAAATCAGAGCTCAGAGCTGTGTGTTTTTTGTGCTGGTCAAAAATGAGTAAGAAACCAGTATTAAATCAAGCCACATGTATATATATACACAGTGGACTATTACTCAGCCACAAAGAAGATGAAATTATGGCATTTGCCAGTAAAGGGATGGAATTGGAGACTATCATGCTAAGTGAAATAATCCACTCTCAAAAAACCAAAGGTTGATTGTTCTTTCTGATATGTGGATGCTAACATACAATATGGAAGGGAGAGCAAAGAATAAACGTTCACTGGATTAGAGGAAGGGGAATGAAAGGAGTAGAGGGGGGTGGGAATAGGAAAGAAAGTAGAATGAATTGGACATAACTTTCCTGTGTTCATATGTGAATACATGAAACTCCACATCATGTATGATGGCAAAATGGGATCCTAATTAGAATTAATTATACTCCAGGCATGTATAATATGTCAAAATACACTCTACTGTAATGTAGATCTAAAAAGAACCAATAAAAATAATTAAAAAGAAAGGCTACAGAGATTAAAAAATGAGTATAAGCACTCATAAAATCATCTCTACTGTGTGTTTTTTATACAAATATGCTTAATATACAAATCATATACAAAATAAGGTCACTATTGGAGATTCCCTCAAATAGTGGTGGAATTTCATTTGCATTTGGTTATATCACTCTGAACTGTCACATCTACTTGCAGCTTTGCCTTTACCACTTTAAAGTATTGTTTTCTGTGAAGCGAAAACATAAGATTTTTAATTCAAGGTCTTGTTACATAAGCCATTACCCTAGCCTGTGTTGTTTCACAGAGATACTTATTGGCTAAATTTTAACTTTCTCCTACTCTTTAGAGGTTTCAGTGATATCTCCAAAGATTTACGTGACATGGCTTTAGTCTCTTATATGCCATGGTTTATGGTGAATTTATTATCTTAACAAAACTTCCTGAGAACATCTTTATGTCATCTCTCATACTTATCCCCAAGTATGAGCTGTACTATGGTTGTGAGTAACTATGAGGTTAATGTATATATAACGACTATAATAAATATCGCTCCCACTAGGAAGTAGAATACTTGCATCAGACCTGATGTGAGATGGAATTCAAGAGAAATGATGGATTGGCAATAACAGTAATAGTAGTTAAGTAGCTAACAGTTATTGAAGGTTTACTCTATGCTAGGCACTATGTTAAGAGTTTTGTGTGGAATCTCATTCTGTCCTTAGGTCAGTCTCTTTCAGTTTGCATTTAGGAAAAATGAGACTCAGTGTTTAAGCAACTTGATTGAGGCTGCACAGATAAGAAGTAGCAAAGCCAAAGCCAGGAGTAAATCCAGAAGTCTGACCTAGAAATGTGTTTCTCAGCTGCCTTCCTGTACTGCCTGTACTTGCAGAGAAAGTGATAAAAAGCCAATGTTACACAAAAAAATTAGTCAGACAGGTAGATTTCCATAATCCATTGCTTTTTCTCAAACATCAGTGAAATTCATTTGGAAAAATAAGAGGTCCAAAATAGTCAAAGCCTTCCTTACTGAGAAAAGTAAAGCAGGAGGCATCCATCACAATCTCAGACCTTAAATTATACTACAGAGTTATAGTAACAAAAACAGCATGGTATTGGCATCAAAACAGGCATGAAGACCAGAATAGATGACACAGAGACAAAGCCACAAAAACACAGTTAATTCATACTAGACAAAGGCACCAAAAAATAAACCCTGGAGAAAGAAAGCCTCTTTAACAAAGGTTCTGGGAAAACTGAAAATCCATATGTAGCTATATGAAATTTAACCCTCATCTCTCACCCTGTACACAACTCAACTCAAAGTGGATCAAAGATGTAGGAATTAGACCAGAATCTGTGCACATACTAGAAGAAGATGTATGCCTAACACTCCAACACATTGGCTTAGGAACTGACTTCCTTAACAAGACCCCTAAAGTGCAAGAAGTAAAATCAATAATCAGCAAATGGAATGGCATCAAACTACAAAGCTTCTTCACAGCAAAGGAAACAATCAAGAACGTGAAGAGAGAGCCCATAGATGGGAGAAAATCTTTGCTACTTGCATCTCAGATAAAGCATTCATTTCCATGATGTATGAAGAATTAAAAAAAAAAAACTTAACATCAAAGAAACAAAATAACCCAAACAATAAATGGCAAAGGGACTAAACAGACACTTCTCAAAAGAAGAAATATGAATGATCAACAAATATTTGAAAAAACATTCAACATCTCTAGCAATTAGAGAAATGCAAATTAAAAAGTACACTGAGCTTTCATCTCATTCCAGTCAGAATGGCAATTAAAAAGAATACAAGTAACAATAAATGTTGGTGAGGATGTGGGGAAAAAAAGGTACACTCAGACATTGCTGATGGGATTGCAAATTGGTGAGGTTGCAACCACTCTGGAAAGCTGTATGGAGATTCCTTAAGAAACTAGGAATGGAATCAGCATTTGAACTGGTTATCCCACTCCTCAGTATATATCCAAGGGACTTAAAATTAGCATACTACAGTGATACAGCCACATCCATGTTTATTTATAGCAACTCAGCTCACTATAGCTAAGCTATGGAACCAACCTGTGTGCCCATTATTAGGTGACTGATAAGGAAAACGTGGTTTATATACACAATGGAATATTTCTCAATCTTAAAGAAGAATGACTTTCTTATTGACTTTATGACATTTGCCGGTGAATAGATGGATCTGGAGACATTCATGCTAAGTGAAATAAGCCAATCCCCCAAATCCAAAGTTCAGAAGTTCTCTTAAGGACAGGGAGGGGAAGAATAGAGGTTCAGTGGATTAGACAAAGGGAAATAAAGGGAAAGGAGGAGGCACAGGAATAGGAAAGACAGTGGAATGAATCTGACATAAGTTTCCTATATACATATATGAATATGTATAACATGTGAATCTCAACATTGTATACATCCTAATTGGAGTAAAATATAGACTAAGATATCCTCCATGTTTCTACAAATATATCAAAATAGGCTCTACTGTCATGTATAACTCTAAATAACAAAAATCAGTAAAACAGCCTTCTTAAAAATAAATGTTAGTAATTAATCCCAGTTTCTATTTGTGTTTCCTAACAGAAAATGTTGATATCCAGTTCTTTAATTGGAAATAGTGCCTTCTCAAATAAACCTTAAGAACTACAAAATCATCCTGGTACCAAAAAACCAAACTCTAATGGATTACATTTTCTAGCCCTTCCATCCTTTGTCTCAGTGGAGGTCCCACGGTGTTATTTGTAAGATAATGTACTCTCCTTGAATTTTTTTTTTCTTTCCAATCACTCTCGTCCCTCTCTGTATGGGGCTAGCATATGCTCCTGATCTTACGTATTGAACAGACAGAAACCGCATGTATCCACTTTTTTTTTTTTTTTTTGGTTACCAGTGTTTTTGAGCATTTACTAATGTGAGACAATATTTTAGGTACTGAAATGAGACTGTAAATAAGACAGTCAAGGGCCCTTCTTTGACAAAAAAAAAAAGCTGGTTATATATACTGTGTCAGCTGGTTATGTCCTGTGTGTAGTGATGCAAAAAGCAATCATGGTTGGTTATTTTTCAAATGGGTTTGAGAAACACCTCTGAGAATATCAGAGAGTCAGACATGGGAGTGAGTGAGTACAGGATAAAGAGTGTTCCAGGAGGAGGGAAGAGCTAATGCATGGGACCCCAGCTAGGAGGAGGAAGTGCCATTTACTGGGGCCATGTGGGCATGGGAAACAGTTGGATGAAATGAAGCCAGAGCAGTGCAGAGGACAGATGCCATAAAGCTTAGTAAACATGGTCAGGTTGCTAGTTTGTAGGCCTAGGTCATGTCATCCTGGTATATATGTAAATGAGATGCAAAGAAATAAGTCATCTTCGCCTCTTCTGTCGTGATCTTTCTAGGAATTGGTGGTGAAGACTCTGATTGTAGCTGAACCTCATGTCCTGCATGCGTATCGAATGTGTAGGCCTGGTCAACCTCCAGGCAGTGAAAGTGTCTGCTTTGAAGTTCTGGGTTTTGACATTTTGTTGGATAGAAAACTAAAACCATGGCTTCTGGAGGTAAGGCACTCTTTAAAAAAAAGTCAGAGAAGCTATCACTGTTCTGTATTTAAAACTTGCGTTGTACAAACGTGTTCTTGGCACCGTTGTCCTCATTAACCGACTAGAATCAGGCCTGACGAGAGTACGTGGGAGGAAGAAAATGAAAATTCAGGGATTCGCATACTTCTAACACTGAATCAATACGTGTGATATTACTTTCCCCAAGTAATTATCATTCAGTGAATTTCTAGGGTAGAGATTTTTGAATGTCAGCATGAATCTACTTCTCCTGAGTTGTTGAGTTAGTACTTACTTGATCTATGAACTTTGGGTATTGTCTTTCCTCTGTGTGGCTGCCTATGGCTTCAAGACCCAGCCTTCAGTGTGCCTCTTTTCGATCTCTCTAAGAAGACAGAAGTTTTAATTGGCCTATTAATCAATATTCAATGTCCGGTACACCAGGTGGAGTAAATTGTCCTTTAAGGCCATATTATATGCCTGGGGCTCCCCTCAGGTCCAGCTTGTTAACTGTATGCCTTTGGGTTTGCTGCTCAACCAGGTAAGGCCAGAGTTTTCATGACTTTCTTTGATTATACCAGGTCACCTAAAACCATTTGAAAAATATGGAGTAATATTACGGAGGAAACTAAAATTACCGCTGTTTAAGACGTTTATGTTTCCAGAAGTCATATTTATTTTACCCTTGGGAAATGTTGGAAATCATGCTGCCCAGACATGCTCCATTCTGCATCTCCCTCCAAGCTCCCTGAGCTGGGGTCATGGAACTTTCTCATGGCTACTGAAACACTATGTTTAGGCAGCTGTCAGAAAAATAGCACATATCAAAGCAGTGTTTACTGAATTAATAACATATTTCTACAGAAGTTATAATCAATAGTTACCTTTTGTTTTAAATCGATAATCTCTTTTTTTTTAGCCATTTAGTAGTGGGAAATTGCATCTGTAATACCAAATTTTGTGTAAGCAAGCTGAATGAGTGATAGGTGAGATCATGATGTTTGCAGTACCTATTTTATAGATACGAACTTTCCTAATTTGAAGGCCAAACCTCTGTGTGTGTGTTCATCTCTTTGGGCAAATAATGTGTATTATATCTTCATGTAAATAAAGTTCTCTGCTGGTTATTCATATTTTGGTCAACCTGGCACTAGCAGTAAGATTACAGTGAAGAATTTTGTTCACCCTTTGCTCCCTCCGTTCCTTAGATAGAAAAGCATGACTGGATGGTTGAATTCTGTATGTTTTTTAAAGACTAGAAACATCATGTTCCTTCATTATTTATCCTCTACATCATTATTTCCAGATCAATCAGAACCATTAAAAAACTCTAAAATAAACAAAATCTGTGTATGATGAACATTTAGTATATTAAAACAGTTAAAAGAATTTTTTTAAAGATCTTAGTTTGTATTTTGCACCCATCTGAAATTCTAGTGGTTCTGATGTACATTGTTAAAAACCTTTTGGCGCCATCAAGTGGAATAAAGTAGAAGCTACATCTGAGAATGTGACAGCTAACTAGAATAATTTCAGGTAATGATTGGTAGTGGTAAAACTTGAAGAAAATTTCAAACATAGAAAGCATTTTTAAAATGAAAATTTGTGCAGAGTGTGAATATATTGTCAATACTTTAAGTACCCTTGAATTAAACAAGTACCCATTGAGTTATAGACATGGTGCTAGGTGGTGGGGAAACAAGAAGAATCAGACAGAATACTTGCCTTGGTTTAGTGGAGACCCAGATGTGTGTTTTATGGTAATAATTGGAAGCATTAGCAAGGAAACAGAAAAACAGCGCAAAAAATAGTGATTAATCTCTATGTGCAGATACGTATAATTGAGAATTTAAACTAACAAATGAAAAAAATCCAAACCAAATCAAACCAGACCAAACCAAACAAGAAACCTCTATCAGTACATGTGCCTGAATTCCAGCAACTTGGAAGGCTGAGGCAGTAGAATCACAAGTTCAGGGTCAGCCTCAGCAACTTAGTGAGACCCTCAGCAATTTAGCAAGACCTTGTTTCAAAAAAAAAAAAAAAAGCTAAGGATATAGCTCAATGGTAAAGGGCCCCAGTCCCCAAAACACCCCCTCCCCCAAATCAAAAGAAACAATGAGAACTTTATAGAAAGAACATCTGAGCAGTCTTTAAGGCTGACATAGGGAGTTGGGCTGGGAGAGATGAGTTGAGGGTCAGGGAAGAGCTGTGGGACTGAAGGAATAGCAGTAATGTAGGAGCATCACCTAAATTAGTTTTTCTTCTGTCTGTGCACATATTAGTTTATCTTGTATGGGTAAATTTTTCAAATACTAATTTCTTCTGTATTGTAGTAGATGGAAGAATATGGAAGAAAGAAGTATATGAAAATTGTCTTATACTGAGATGTCAGTAGCATTTTTGAGGAGGTATATACCTGGCAGAATTCCCCGCTGCAATTTGGAATGGAATAGCTAAATAATTCTACAAAGATAGATAACATTCTAGTGAAACCCTTAATCATCAGTTTCTAAATCTGGTTTACTTCATAATCCTGTTACATGTAGCAGCCAGAGCTATCATTAATCATCTTAAAATTTCCAGGGATTTGAATTAGTATGGTTGAAACTTTTTTCATATAAATATATTACTTTATCCTTTCTCTGCACTTGTAAGGGGGAAAGGCTTAGAGCTTTGAGGTAACAGATTAATAAATTCTGTTTTTCAAACTGACCTAGAATATATGGATGTTCTTATAATTCTCAAGCTATTTCCTTATCTTTAGACCACATCACACAAAGACAGGATTATGTCACCTTCTAAGTCAGAAATCAACAGAGAAGTCAAAATACTACATGACCTCTGTCTATGAAGGGAGTATGATGCATTCATCACAATGATGGCTTGATGAAAGATTTGCATGATACATTGTTAAGGAAAAACTTGGATTATAAAATAAAGTATGGTTAGTATAGACATGTATTTAGAAAATAAAATGAATTGTAATATATGTATGCATAGGAAAAATAAAGTATGGTTAGTATAGACATGTATTTAGAAAATAAAATGAATTGTAATATATATATATATATATGCATAGAAAATATCTGAAATACTCTTGACCAAATGGTTAAGAATATACCAGGGAGTGGAATGACAGGTAATCCTTTGCTGTTTGCTTTGTTTCTATTTACTATTTTTCTGCTGTGAAACTGTGCCACTTTTCCAATTAGAGAGATGACATTTCTGGATGTAGTTTTGAGTATAATGTGATATTTCCTCAGGTCTCAGCTGTAGAATGTAGAATTGTCCCTTGTGATGAATTTGTGTAATTATGTCTAGAAGCATATACTTCTGTTGAGAAAGTCTAAGGGGTTAGTTGGTAATGAAGAAATGAAGTTATAGTTTTAAACTCATCAATATTCTAACCAACTCATTTAGAGTCTTAAAAACCTGCTATGCCTGTTAATTTTCCTAACAACAACAGTATTAAAACCTAACAACAACAAATACAAAAAGAAAATCTCCAGCCCTTGAGATAGTACAGTATTGTACAAGGTGTGTGTGTGTGTGTGTGTGTGTGTGTGTGTGTGTGTGTATTTTATATGTTATATATATTACATATCCTACATATATAATTTTATATATATGTATATTTGCTGCTTCTTTTCCATCTTGATGAATTCCTGGGAATAACGGCAGAAAGTAGGATGGTCACAGATGGCTCATTTATCCCCATTAGTCCATTCTTGTATGGTTACAAAGGCTCTAAGAGATCTGCAGCTACCCTTAAGAGGTAGCATCTTCTCAACAGGTAATGGAGGGAGGGTGGGGGAAAAGGAGAAGGAAGGACAGTGGAATAATATTCCTATGTACACATGTGAAAACATTACAGTGAATCCCATCATCATGTATATCCACAAGAATGGGATCCTAATTAGAATAAGATATATTCCATGCCTGTATAATTATATTAAAATGGATCCCACTGTCATGTATAATAAAAAGAACCAATAAAAAAAAGAGTATCTCTGAGAAATTTAGTCAATGCCGTTTGAAATGAAAATTGATGAATCATTGTTTGAGCCAGCTAGAAACACAATTTATTTTCTATGCATCAAAAGGTGAATTCATCAGGAATATCTGAAGCAGTGAAAAGAGGGCACTGATAATTTTCTACTTGCTAAAAATGTACATGTATGTAATTATTATGGTGTTGGTAATGTGCATGTCACAATTACTGTTCTTCCAACTTGTTGTCAAGTTATGTTCCTTTTAACTTCTCTAAACTTAAAAACCCCAGTGTTGGGTTACGGGGCTGGAGAGAGTGGCCAGGTGATGCTGATTGACTATCCAGATCTTCAACTTGAGACAACAAGAGCAGGAGGTCATGCTCCTAGTCTATTCCTTGCAAATCCTTGACCTAGGTTGATGGGCAGGTAAGATGCGGTAGTGGTGACTGGGCCTTCCACCACATAAAGCTTTGAGATTTATTGTGGCTCCTTCTCCTGATTGGAGATATAACATTAGATTAACAAACATGTGTGGAATATTTATTGACCTTCCAACATTTGGCTGCCAGCATTGTTTTCTTTGTGAATTTCAGATTAATCGAGCCCCAAGTTTCGGAACTGATCAGAAAATAGACTATGATGTAAAAAGGGGTGTGTTGCTCAATGCACTGAAGCTATTAAACATCAGGTAAAGTATTTCCCCCATTTGTTGGAACTTTTCCCATACTTGGCATAGATAAATCACTTGTATATGAGATTGGCTTGTAGTCATTTGTATTTTTTACTTTGAATTTTTAATTTCAGTTTTTAAACCCATATAGTTTTAAAAAAATATTTCCCCTTCTTCCTTTAAACTCCTTTTCCTGACTCCCCTCCCATATAATACTCTACACCTGCAGTAATTATGGTTAAATTATGGTAAGTACTGGGAATATAAAGTCTCCTATGATTCCTAGATTTCTGGCTTGGATTGTTTGATAAGATGTCATTAATTGAGATAAAGATTATAGCACAGTTATAAATGGGGGGAGGAGTTATGGAAGAAGAGAGGACACAGAAGGGAGAGATATATTTCAATTTTAAACACACTAATTTTTCATTTGTTCTAATTACTATACATGAGAGTAGAATGCATTTTGATATACATAAATGGAGTTTAACTTTTTATTCTTCTGGTTGTACAGGATGTAGGATCACACTGGTCATATAATCATATATGCACACAGGGTAATGATGTCTGATTCATCCTACTGTCCTTCCCACCCTTATGCCCCTTCCCTTCCCTTTACTCCCCTCTGTCTAGACAAAATACCTCTATTCTTCACCTCCTCTCTTATTGTGAATTAGCATTTGCATATCACAGAAAATGTCCAGCCTTGGATTTGTTGGGATTGGCTTATTTTGCTTAGAATGATATTCTTCAGCTCCATCCATTTACTTGCAAATGCCATAATTTCATTCTTCTTTAAGGCTGAGTAATATTCCATTGTGTATGTATACCACATTTTCTTTATCCATTTATCTGTTGAAGGGGGCACCTACGTTGGTTCTATAATTTAGCTGCTGTGAATTGAGCTGCTGTAAACATTGATGTGACTGTGTCATTGTAGTATGCTGATTTTAAGTCCTTTGGGTATAAACCGAGCAGTGGGATAACTGGTCAAATGGTCGTTCTATTCCACGTTTTCTGAGGAATCTCCATACTGCTTTCCATGGTGGTCACACCAATTTGCAGCCCCACCAGCAATGTATGAATATATCTTTTTCCCTATGTCCTTGCTAACTTTATTGTTGCTTGTATTCTTATTAATTGCCATTCTGACTGGAGTGAGATGAAATCTTACTGTAGTTTTGATTTGCATTTCTCTAATTACTATAGATGTTGAACATTTTTTTCATGTATTTGTTGATTGATTGTATATCTTTTTCTGAGAAGTATCTGTTCGGCCATTTATTGATTGGGTTGTTTTTTAAAAATTTTTTTATTCAACCCATTTATTGATTGTTTTAAAATTTTTTTTATATCTCCTGGAGATTAATGCTCTATCTGAGGTGTATGAATATGTTAATTTTAAGATGATTTGAGACACAGAGATAGAATTGTTAAATGGTAAGTTTGATACATAGGGACTCAGCAGGTAGAGATATCTGATTGACACTCATGTACAGATTGCAGTTGATTCTAATGAATAAGATCAGACAGTTGGATTCCGTATTTTAAGAACTAAAGAGAGGCAGAGTCAGAACACTGAGATATGCTAGCATTTGAAGAGATTTTTATAAGCTCTGATATCTGATATTCTGATCAGATAGTTTCCATACTATAAGACAGTGTTTAACTCCTTTATATTACATACAAGGTACTTTTTGATCTGGCCCTTGCATCTCTCTCCAACCCAATCATTTCTTGTTCTTTTTTCTCTGCCTTGGGATTGATTTTTCTAAGAACTTTTTTGTGTTGTTCTCATTAATATGCTTTTCCACTTTCTTACATTTAATATTCATGCACCTTTGTCCCTCTGGTGAATGTCAAATATTTTTAATTGTTGTAAAATATAGTTAGCATAAAATTTACCATCTTAACCATTTTTAAGTGTATAGTTGAGTGGCATTAAGTACATTCACAGTATTATGTAATTATCACAACCGTATGAGAACTCTTCATCTTGCAAAATTGAAACTCTACACCATTTGGTCCTAACTCCTCATTCACCTCACCTCCTAGTCCCTGGAAACCACCATTACACTTTTGATGAATTTGAGTGCCCTATTTTCATCTCCTAAGAGTGCAATCATTTGGTATTTGTCTCTTTGTTAGTGGCACATTTCACTTAGCATGTCTTCAGGTTCCTTGTAACTCGTGTCAGAATTTCCTTCCTTTTTTAAAAAGTCAGAGTAACATTTCTTTGTATGTTGTCTTAGATTGTTTTCTGAAGGGATTCCTGACACTGGGAAATCTATAGACAACAGGTTTACTGAGGTGACAGTTCTAGAGATCCGAAAGCATGGGGCAGGCATCTGCTCAGCTTCTTGTGAGGACTTCATGTTGCAGGGTAGAAAAGAGCAAAGAAAGGGGAGGCATGCAGAAGAGCACATTTACCATAGTGAAATCAGGAGAGGCAGATCTGTTTTATAAACAACCATTTCTTGCAGTAACTAATTCAGTGCTGTAGTATCCATCTCAATCCTGCAAGGCTTAATGCAGTCTCAAGAGAGCTAACCTAGTCTCTGTAGAAAAGCATGAATCCATTCCTGACAATGGTGCCCCAATGATGAAATCATGTGCCACTAGGTTCTACTTGTTAAAGGTCCCGTCACCTCTCAGTACTGTTAAATTGGGGACCAATAGCACATGAAATTTTGGGGGAAATATCATACCCAAACCATAGCATACATATTGATCATATGTTTGTCAGCTCATTCTTTTTTTTGAATTTTTAAATATTTTTATTATTTTTTAGTTCTCGGCAGACACAACATCTTTGTCTGTATGTGGTGCTGAGGATCGAACCCGGGCTGCACGCATGCCAGGCGAGCGCGCTACCACTTGAGCCACATCCCCAGCCCCTGTCAATTCATTCTAAAACCTTGCTGAAGCTTAACTTCCTGTTTGAAGCCTTTATGAAAGCATCATGGCTCACTTCTCCCTTTGTGCTATCGTGATACTCTCACTTTGCATCCATCTCCCCACTCTGTTTAAACTGTCACCTCCTTGAGGGCAGTAGCTCTATTTCTCTTTGCTTCTCCTGGGCTAGATCTACAACTAGTGTAGAGTGAGCAATAAATATAATTTTGGTTGGAAGACAAGCCTAGAGGAAGGATATTTCATTTAAGTTAACTACTTGTAGAAAAATAGGTAAGTGGAAAGACAAAGCAAAGCATGTTCATAAATCTTCCAGTGATTCTGTACTTCTGGAGCCTGCAGCAATCTGAGACAAATGGTAAGAGAAAGCCCTTGGATGGATTCACAGGGTAATGAGTAGTGGGAAGGAATCAAGAAAGTCATGAACAAAAATTTTTAGGACAGTGTATGGACACAGTTGAGTAGAAAAATGCTGATTAAAATGCTAAGTGAATCAGGATATTTCGGTCTTTGGTTAAATTTTTTTCTGGTCTGTGAAGTAAGGGCTGAGAGTCATTAGGTCTAACTTATGCCTGTAGTTATAGAAATGCAAACCAAGTTTTACAATGACAGTATTCTAAAGGCCAAATGTAAAGAAAATGATCTAATTAAAATATCATTATTATCTTAATCATAATTGCAGTTCAAGAGCTATCTTGTAGTACTGGTATTATAGTCTGATTTGTGAATTAAAGATTTAATTTTCCTGCTTATTATTTTGCTATTTTTTAAATGAAAGGCCATATAATAATCAATAGTAATTAAAAAAAAACCTCAGTGTGGTTGTCTTTTATTCTTCTTTAATGTGTCTGAGAGGACTTCTGAGTGAGCTTGTTTTTGTTACTTTTCTGGTCATGTGTGTTTGACCTGTTTGTGTGTCAGTATCCTTGACTGTCAGAATATTGTTTGCTGTGGATAGGATCTAGGTCTATGTTTATTTCTTTTATAGCATATTAATTAAAATATCTCATTTCTTCTGTATTTGTCTTACCTTTTTTTTTCTTTTTAAAAATTTTACTTCCTTCTCCCCCACCACTCTTTATTTTCTGTTTGGTCTTTTCCCCTTTATATTGTGCTTACTTTTCCCTTTCCCTCTCCTTCCTGTAAACTGCATTCTATATAGAAATGATTTTTCTATATGAAATGGAATATAAAAAAAGATCAAGTATCAAGAGCTACCTAAACCACTGCATTACCTCCTCTCTTCACTAAGAAAACTCAAAGACAAATTGTATTCATCATTGGAAAAATGATATTCATAATTACCCACTCACCCAAATCAGAAATTTTGGTATGATTATGAGTTTATTCCTTTTCCTTATTCTGCACATTGAATTAGTCACCAGAGCATTCCCATTCTTTCTCCAAAATATTCTTCCAAACTCACTCTTTCTTTAACACGCTGCTGCTTCCCTGGTCCAGTTCTTCATATTTTCTATTGTTAGTGAAATAGCATCTCATCAATCAACAAATGGGACTTACTTAAACTAAAAAGTTTTTTTTCTCAGCAAGAGAAACAATAAGAGAGGTAAATAGGGAGCCTACATCCTGGGA